CTCATGGATGGTAGGCCACTCCTGCGTGCTACTAACTGATACTGAGTATGGTGTTTAGCAATATAAAAACTGGACTAATTAATAAATGACAGCCCGTACGTACATTGAAGAAGCAGGCAAGCTAATAAGGTCGGTCGACCAGTCAGCCCATTGGACCTTAGGTTGACGAGTGGATAACAGGAAGACAGCGCAGCCATATTATATGTGCATGAATTAATGAAGCTTCTTCCACTTTAAATGCTTTTGACAGAAACCCATAACCAACTAATTCCTTCCATTTATTTCTCACCTAATTAATCTCAGAGATTTGATGCTTATGCGCCAGGTAGGTTAGTTCCATCTTCATTCTCAATTACATTTTATTGCGTAAATTCTACCCATCAAGAACTAGCTTTCTGAGTAGCACGGAAACTCTCGTAAACTCTACAGAAACTCTTTGCAAACTCTCAAAACAAGTCTTTTTTTAGCAAAAGTTGATGTCTCCCGTTTTCCGTTTCCTCAAGATTTCGTGTTCAGTCCAACATAGCTAGCTTCTTGCTAGGTAATTAATTAGCGAGCTAGCTAGACTGCTAGAGCAAATGGTATCTAGCTTATACTTTTGTTTGATCTGAGTAATAAATGATTGATGATTCACAGTACTAGCTTCTCATATGCATGCATGCAATTGCGAGTATTTCAATAAATCTTTCTATTTTACATTTGTTTCCTTTTTTGGGTAAAAATGATGGTTATGTGATGCGAGTATATATTAAGTGCCAAATAATGGAGAATGGTTAATGTCTATATGTTTCTAGAACTAGGAGAATGACATTTCTTGCTAACAACAATTAATTGATATTTGGCTAGATTGATTAGAGTCGCCTACCTTTATTTTCAATTTCATGCAATTATATACGAGTACAATTTACTAATGTCCACGTGTCAGTAGAAGCTAGAGCGCAATGTTCGACTCCTATTGAGGAAATTAAAGGCATGGCTTAGCTTTCAGGCTTTGTCTTCTGAGGAAACACCACTAGTGAATAAGCTATAGCTACTTTAATAAACTTTCGAGTGGCATCTCATACGATAGTATTTGGTATCATCTAATTACTCCATATTTCTGCTTTTATTAATGGGGTAATTTGAGTTTGCACCCAATATTATTATCTAAATTAGATTCTGCACCCCGTTATTAAAAACCTTTGTTTTTGCACACCCAATCTCATATGAAAAGATAAAAATGATCGGCCCCTCCATTAACAATTCTGCTGACCTTCAACGCATTCCGGATTGAGGGCATTTTTGTCTTCTCATATGAGGCTGGGGTGCAAAAACAAAGATTTTTAAAAACGGGATGCAAAGTCTAATTTAGGCAATAATATGGGGTGCAAACTCAAATTACCCCTTTATACCCTTTATTAATATAGAGTTATTATAGATTTCTAGACCCCTAAAGGTACATGCACACTTACATAGCCTTACAAATTAAAAGAGATACATACGTACGTAGTATATATATATATATATATATATATATATATATATATATATATATATATATATATATATATATATAGGTTTTGGTTCAAATAAGAACACGATCTTATGAGAAAAATGAGAACGAATCAGGACCGTTAGATTTGCTTCAAGTGAGATTCAGTGTGCATTGGATGATACTGTAATGTGCATTAGGTGAAATTGAAATGTGCATTACAAATCGTACGATAGAGTGACATTATGTGCAGTTGAATTGTGCATTACGTGAAATTGAAATGTGCATTAGGTGAAGCTGAAATGTGCAGAATAAAAAGTACGATGTGATGTTATTTTTGTACTTTTTTTTCCGCACATATCAGTTTCATCTAATGCACACTTGAGTTTAAATTTTTATTTTGCACATTTCATTATCATTTAATGCACATTTCAGTCTCACCAAATGCACAATTCGGTTCCACATAATACAATCCAACGGTCCAGATTCGTTCTCATTTTTCTCCTAAGATCTGTTCTTACCAGAACCGCTCCCTATATATATATATATATATATATATATATATATATATAGATTTAGGATCACATACAAAGTAATCCTGATTTATTTAATCTTAACCATTCCTATTAATTAGATAACGGTGAGGATGCTATAATTGCTCCACTAACTGCTTGGCCGAAAGTTATGGTTAAAGGATAAATAATTATCCATTAATACGGTTGTGTGTTAGTGCCAAAAAAGAAACCTTACCCTTGATTATGTAAGATTCAACGGATGAGATGATTTTGCATTTTGTATGGGAAGTATACTTTGTATCCGATCTTAACCCTATATATATATATATATATATATATATATATATATATATATATATATATAGGTTTTGTTCAAATAAGAAGACGATCTTATGAGAAAAATGAAAACGAATCTGGACCGTTAGATTTGCCTCAAGTGAAATTCAGTATGCATTAGATGAAACTGTAATATGCATTAGGTGAAATTGAAATGTGCATCACAAAGGGTATGATAGAGTGGCATTATGTGCAGTTGAATTGTGCAATACGTGAAATTGAAATGTGCACTAGGTGAAGCTGAAATGTGCAGAATAAAAAGTACGATGTGATGTTATTTTTGTACTTTTTTTCGCACATATCAGTTTCATCTAATGCACACTTGAGTTTAAATTTTTATCTTGCACATTTCAATATCATTTAATGCACATTTCAGTTTCACCAAATGCACAATTTGGTTCCACATAATACAATCCAACGGCCCAGATTCGTTCTCATTTTTCTCCTAAGATCTGTTCTTACCGGAACCGCTCCATATATATATATATATATATATATATATATATATATATATATAGAGAGAGAGAGAGAGAGAGAGAACTCTTCGTGTTAGGCCGGCCTGACCAGCAGAGCTGTCCAGGCCGAGCCCGTTTGGGCACTTTCCCGGTGGAATTTTTTGATGAAATTTTTTTAGCATGTTTCTCATCAAGTCTAGTTTATCCATACCAAATTTCAGCTAAATATTCAATTGGGAAGGCACTCAAATCATTTTTTGAAGTTGACTGCGTCAAAATATACATATAAAAACGCAGTCAACTTCAAAAAAAGATTTGAATGCCTTCCCGATCGAATTTTGAGCTGAAATTTGGTATGGACAAACTAGACTTGATGAGCAACATGCTCAACAAAATTCATCAACAAATTCCACCGGGAAGGTTGCCAAAAGGGCTCGGTCGGACGGCTCTGCCGGTCAGGCCGGCCTGACATGATGATCTCTCTCTCTCTCTCACTCTCTCTCTCTTTATATATATATATATATATATATATATATATATATATATATATATATATATATATATATATATATATATATATATATTATATATATATATATATATACATATATATATATATATATAATTCATCAAAAAATTCCATCGGGAAGTGCCCGAAATGCCCTCGGTCGGACGGCGGTTCCCGTCAGGCCGGCTGGACAAGAAGACTACTCTATATATATATATATATATATATATATATATATATATATATATATATATATATATATATATATATATATATATATAGTCCCGTTCTTGTCCAGCCGGCCTGACGGGATGCTCCGTCCGGCTGAGGGCATTTTGGGCACTTCCCGGGTGAATTTTTTGATGAAATATTTTGAGCATGTTATTCATGAAGTCTAGTTTATCCATACCCAATTTCAGCTCAAAATTCGATCGGGAAGGCATTCAAATAATTTTGTGAAGTTAACTGGGCAGTTTATATGTATGAACTGCCCAGTTAACTTCAAGAAATTATGTGAGTGCCTTCCCGATTGAATGTTTAGCTGAAATTTGGTATGGATAAACTAGACTTCATGAAGAACATGCTCAAAAAATTTCATCAAAAAATTCCACCGGGAAGTGCCCGAAATGCCCTCGGCCGGACGGCGGTTCCCGTCAGGCCGGCTAGACATGAAAAGTCCTATATATTATATATATATGTATGTATGTATGTATGTATGTATGTATGTATGTATGTATGTATGTATGTATGTATGTGTGTATGTATGTATGTATGTATGTATGTATGTATGTATGTATGTATGTATGTATGTATGTATGTATGTATGTATGTATGTATGTATTAACGCATCACTGTACTTTTGTATCATATACTACGTATAATGTGATTAAAATAGTCACACTTGTTTGTAATTAAGTTTTTTTACAAATTTATTTGTACTTATTTCATTTTCCTAATATAGATTGCACATCACTCACTGGTCTCACCCCCGTCATAATATGGAGTTCTTTATAAACATTTTTCTCTTTGACAACTTCAATTACTCCGTATTATAATGATCCTTCGAGATTTTATTTAGGCAAAACTTTTACTGTGTTTCACTGTTTCAGAAATGCCATGCAGCTATGCTACTGAGTAATGAAGTCCACACCAGAATTACTCAACTCAAATAGGAGTGCCACTATTGTTTTTATGGAATAGGACCTATTCAACCTTACTTTGGGAATTAATTACGTAGTACGGAGTACTATTTAATTCTTTTAGTATTAATTACTAAATAAATTATCTTTTGAGAATAAAACATATTTCACCCTGTTTTAAACCAAATTACCTACTATGTCTTTTACTCCAATTTAGATCAATTTATTCATTTTTATAATAAACCAAGACAAAATTTTCTAAATAGAACTAAAATAAAGATTAAGTTGATAATGAAATACGATTATCTATGTTTCATTTCCAAAATATGAGTCATTCACTCATATTTTGGGAAGTTAATCAACTTATTCTTTTAATAGGACTAAATAAGTCATGTTTGGGAATAAAACTTACTTAGTCGTGTTTTTAAACTTTGTATATATATATATATATATATATATATATATATATATATATATATATATATATATATATATATATATATATATATATATATATATATATATATATATATATATATATATATATATATATATATATATATATATATATATATGCTTTAGTTACGTTTTATATAAACCAATTTCTATGTATGTCCAAAACAGAGTAATTTGAAAATTCCTTGATACAGATTTGAAAAGACATTGACACACATATGCATGGGGTTATCTATACAGACTATACTAGCTATTATTAAAATAAAATTTATGAATAAATAAAAGAGGTAAAGGTCAGATTGGTACTCGAAGTTGCATAAAAAGGGTCAAATAAGTCCTTACTGTCCGGTCATCGCCATTTGAGACGCTTCCCGGTGGAATTTTTTGACGAAATATTTTGAGCATCTTATTCATGAAGTTTAGTTTACTCATACCAAATGTCAACTAAAACTTCAATCGGGAAGACATTCAAATAATTTCTTGAAGATAACTGTGTTTTTAACTGTGCAATTATCTTCAAGAATTCATTTGAATGCCTTCTCGGTTGAATTTTTTGCTGAAATTCGCTATGAGTAAACTAGACTTAATGAATAAGATGCTCAAAAAATTTCGTCAAAAAATTTCGCCGGGATTCGCCCCAAATGGCGACGGCCAGACATAACCTCCTATATAAGAACTTATTTGACCCTTTTTATGCAACTTCGAGTACTAATCTGACCCTTACCTCATAAATAAAATAAACTCCATCATTTTGGTTATCATAAAGGTAGAATCTATGGTACCCTTAAGGTACCATACCTTTGTCCACATGGACCAATAGGAACGATGCAGTTGAATTAATTAAATCTAAATTAAAAAGAATATAATGATTTGGACCAATCAAATGAATGATAGGTACGGTACCCCAATTTTTAAAAGGGTACTGGAGTTGTCACCTATCATAAAAGGCAGTTGAGAAAAAGAGAGTATAGACTTGGGCCCTTCAATAAGGCAGTTGAGAAAAAGAGAGTATAGACTTGGGCCCTTCAATCCAATGAAAGCACAAATTGTGTAGGTCCAGTAAGTTATAAATGCTAGCTAGCTACTTCGTAGGAGTATGCAATGTTGAAACTATTATGAAATTCCATTTTATTCACAAAATTAAAGAACATTACAAGGACTGGTCACTATGTTGGTCCCATATACTTATCGATCTGTTCACATCATTTATATCACAAATATTTAAAAACTATTACTCCGTAACATAAATTTTATAATAGTAATTAAATGTTACCAGAACACTGAACACCACCATGCGTTTTACCCACCATGGTGCACAGTTGCACAGCACCCAATAATATTACCATGATCCCAATCTAAAAGCATTTAACTTCTTTCATTTTTTTATGTCAATTCAATACCAATTTATTTGAGCATAACAAAATTGTATTGTATTTTCTTCAAAAAAAACAAAAAACAAAATTGTATTATAAATAAAAAACTGTCATAGTCCGTAATAAATAATTTCCTTGTAAATCTAATATACGAGTATAGAATAATAGGCTTAAAGGTGTGTGCGGTCTCGCAAAATATAGTTCTTTTAGAGCCTGCAAAATATTACTCCGTGTTTGTTTTAAATGCATGAACTTTTACTGTTGCTAAATCTTGTCTTTGGGAATGATTTCATTTTTTCAACTCGTTCAAAAAATAATATTTAAATTTTATTTCGTGAAAACAATTGAGACATATGCGAAAACAATCTCCAGATCGGGTAAGGCTAGTTAGATAGGTGGGAGTGTTGACGACATTGGGATAATGTTGTTATTGTTGTTGTTATAGAACAATTGAGACCTATCTTAAGAGTTTTTGGTAGGGATTTTCCAAAATTGGCAGGAATTTTGGCAGGAATATGTCAAATCAGTGTCAAAAATAGTTTGGCATGAGCTATTTGTCACAAAATTTTCAGTAAATCCGTGCCAATTCCATCATTTTTTGTAGGAGATATTACCCAAAATGGGACTAAAAAAGTTTGGAAATTCCAAAATAGGACTTCCATGTTTTTATTCCCGAAACAGGACTAATTACTGTCATGTTTTGACAGTACCAGACTTCAAACATGGCAGTATTTTCCAAATTTGGCAGTAATTAGTCCTATTTTGGGAATAAAAACATGACAGTCCTATTTTGGAATTTTCAAACTTTTTTAGTCCCATTTCGGGAACTTTCCCTTTTTTGTAGTGGTATAACATTGTAAAAGTGTATGAATAGTACCGGATGTGTCTTAAATTCTTAAAATAGGAGTTGTAATTAATTACTCCCTCGTTTTTTACCTCTTACGTTTTAGGGCCGGTTCGAGTTCAAGGTTTACCAGTCCTGTTAGCGTTTAATTATGGTTGTCATGATTTCTATGGTCACTTAGAAATTAGCCACGTAGTGATTGGCAGCGGCTGCCTGGCAATGATTGTCCTTATTAGCTTCATGTACGTAAAAGGGCATTCTTGTCCACTCAATGATTTACTCGTACTACCATGTTTTACTCTTATTTAATTGGAGAATTTAAACATCTAGTTTTATTTTTACATTCCTAATTGGGCAATTTTCTCATACTGAAAACTTGAATGAGTAGTTTTACTTTAGGGCATACTCCAATTAAGAGTGCATTATTATACATTAGGGCATGAACTAAATACGAAACAGTTTTACAGTATAATGGAGTATTACATACAAGTAGATGCAAAACAAAACCAAAAAATAGGAAGAGTCTAATATGAAATACGGAGTATCCTATTTTTAGAGGGTAAACTTTTATTATGTACCGTAGTATTCTTTTTTAGAGAGGCTAAAATCAAAGCAAGTGCATATGTACGCTTATAATTTTTGTAAGCATATGACATCTTTACCAATGAGATTGTTAGTCCATGTGAAAGTAATTCATTTATATGGTAATTCATTTGTATTAGCATAATGTACTTATTTACGGTAACGTGTCACAACATGTTTCATATATAGTACGGAGTACATGCTCATTAAATTAGAATTACATGTTGTAAGACACGTAATTTATACGTATTATTTGATTTTTTTTATTGAGTAAAAACTGAAAACAAAGTAAACAACAATTAATGTTGCAATCTTTTATACTTAATTCTCATCATACGTGTATATTATAATTATTATTGTCATCATTTAATTATCTTCATATTCCATACAATATTGTTCTCTAACATTAATTTTGTCGATCGGTAGCTCAATGCATGCAAGTATGCAACAAATGCACAATTATGGAGATGGAATAACTAAGCTAACCATCGAAACACAAACAAGCACATTTACATTATTGATTCATACAATGCGAAAAATAACCAAAGTTTTTATTAGCTTAGCTTGGTCCACGTGGAAAGCCAAAGTATATTAATTGATGTTGTGACTTACCATAATGGAGATGTTACTTAATGCATGCTAAGGGTCCTCCTGCTCCGGTGGGTCAACCCGCAACACGCCGGCGACGCCGATGATTTTTCACCGCCGGAAACCTCTTCAATAATGCCCTTTCCGAAAGAGTAGCCGGATGAGCCCGAGGAAGCCAGCCTCTTTCTCCGGCCGCCGTAGAATCTCGAAAGAGGAGTACCGAAAGCCGAAGACGACGACGACGAGTGGGAAGATGAAGAACAAGAAGAGAAAGACGGCGAGATAGAAAACGAAGGAGACGGCAATGACGGCGTGGAGGAGGCGGCCGGCGGTGATGGTTTGGCTCTAGATCTAGTACTCTTGAGACTGACCTTAACAAGCAAAGCCCTGAGCAGATTTTTCTTCTTCTTGGGTGGGTTCTTGCCGTTGATGAAGAATGACGGCGGAGGAGTGAGAGGAGGGCGGAGGGAGGCGTCCCTGCCGGCGTCGGCGAATCTGTGTATGGGAGTTCCGGGCTGAGATTCCCAGACAAAAGGAACGGAAACATCCTCGGCGTAGTAGATTCTGAAGGAATGCTGGGTGTTATTGTTTTTAGCTGTTTCTTGGCGGGAAAGGAGCCTGGAGAAGAAGCTGATATCTTCATGTTTGATTCTGAAAGACTTGTCGACTTCATCCTTAACAACATTCTGATGAGAGTCGTCTACACTTTTGCATCTCATCATCTTCACCATCATTATAGTATAATGTGGTCAACGTTTATTGGTTTGAGTCTTTTGCGAAGACTAATAATTAGATGGGTATATATATAGGCAGACGATATAGTATAGCCGGGAAAAGATGGAATGATTGATAGGGGAGTAAGTTGATCGAGATATTGAAGCTAGCTAGTTTGGTGTTTGAAGCTGCCAGCTACCTACCTCGAAATCACTCTGCAATGCACTTAGCATTTATATAGCAAATATTACAATGTATGAAAAAAGATAGATGAGCTCTTTCAATTCTCAATATATTTACATGGCTATTGTCTTAAAAATTACTTGAAAGAATGACTAAACTATTACCGTGAGACTTTCAAATGACAAAAAATAAGATCAAGTTTTAAATTGAACAAAAAAGAGGCTAAACATTGATAAATGGACTGAAATGCCCTTAATTAAATTAGTTCTAATAGCCCAATTCAGATTTCTATTTTCCAGACTTCTGTTCCATCGACGCCTCCTCCATCGCAAATTTCCACAGTCGCAGGTCTCCTCGAGCCCAGATTTCCTCCATCATATCGCAAATCTCCACCGCCGCAAGCGCAGCTCTCGCCTCCGTAACTACTCAGGCTTCTTCTCCATTATTCTGTCCGCAATCCATCGTTCTCGTTCGACTTCCTTCTTCATCGAAGCTGTTTAGATGGATCGATGGAGAGATGCCATCGTTGGAAGAGCTCATCGATCGGAGAAGGCAAACTTCTTCATCAGTGCATTGGTAACACTCACTATGGTCTACCGACGGATAGAAGCACAGAGCAGTAGCGAGAAGCTCAGACCACCGGCAGACAGGAGCTCGGACCAGTTGCGAGAAGCTTGGATTTCCGCGTACATATATTGCTCGTTTAAGATTTTGTCTTCTTCTCCTGTCTTGTGTCCGGAATTCGTAGATCTGGAATGACCATGCAAATCCAAAGATGACGACGGCGCAAAATGTTGGGTAGGATGACGGGTAGGGTTATATTTGTTGGTGGTTGGGGCTGGGCAGCTCAGAGGTGGGGTTAGGGAAGGGTGGATCAGGGTTGGGTTGATTGGAGCTCAAGCTGGAAGGGTGTTGGGGGCTACTATACAGAGGGGGCTGGGGAGGTGGATGGGCGCTAGGAGGGGGCTGGGGGTGGTGGGTGGGTGGGGGGGTCGGTAGTGGTGGTCGGCGGCGTTGCTGGTTGGGTATGGCGATTGGGAGGTGGTCGGGGGCGTCGATAGTTGGGTACAGCGGTGGTCACTGGTGAATCGGTGTTGGTCACTAGGTAGACGGTTTCGTCACTAGGCCGCGGGTTTGGTCACCGGTGGAGCGACGGAGGTCACTGGTTGGGTGAACGTTTGTCATTGAACGAGCGGACGTTAGTCTTGGATACAGACGGACATGTAACTGTCACTTTAGGCATGTAACAATGAAGTCAGTGTAATATCTAACTGTGTAATTTTCATTGTAGACGTGTAACTATGTAGTCTGTGTAATATGTAATTGTGTAATTATCACTGTAGACATGTAATATGTAAGTAGTCATTTTTACATTGGTCACTGTAGAATTGATCAATGTACCATTGGTCACTGCTAATAAGTCACTATGACATTGGTCGCTGGCCGGTGGTAGTAATTATCAATGAAGCGGTAGTACCTAGGACGGTGATTACTGGAACGATAGTAACTGGAACGATGGTAACTGAAGCGATAGTAACTGAGAAGATAGTTATTGGGCCGATAGTCATTGAAGCGATGGTCACTATTAATTAGTCACTGAGACGATAGTTATTGGAGCGGTAGGCCGGTAGTTGATGTAGTCACCGATAGTTTATCACACAAATCACTTTTCCAAAAAATAGAAACTCTGAAATGATTTATCAAAAGTCATTTTCAATTTTAACAAAAGTTTATGTATAATTTAAGTATTTATGTATTTAAGAAAAAAAAGAAACGATATTAAATTCAAAGAAGCATACATTGTTGGGGCTTAATTGTTATGGAATGCATTGAAAGCATTGTTGGAATGCATTGAAAGCATTGTTAAGGAGTGCATTATCATGGCTAAGCATTATGCGGTGCTAGAAGGGTAATATAGTAAAGTAAATGTTTATTAGTCACATTTTTTGAAAATTACAAGAAAAGGTCTTTTTTGTCCATAACCTATTTTTTAGTAATATTCTTGTCAAAACCTCAAATTACTTTCCTTTTTTGTCAACTTTCCTTATTTGGATGTCCCACTAACTTTGTCACTTTCTAATTTGAGTAAAGAATTTGTGGTTTCAGTTAATTCCATTTCCTCAGCACAAACCTCAACCATACAGTTTTTACTTTATTAATCCACGTGCCGATCAAACTTGGCAAAGTTTTAAGGGACGGAGGGAGTACTGAAATACGATTAAATCATAAACCAAGTGTACAAATATGATGATCACATTTTTTCTAAAATAGCACACACTTACTCGACTATGGGAATTTTATAGTTTTATTAAGACAAAATAAGTTATATACTAGTATAGTCCTATTTATAATTCTATTTGTACACTTCATGTGTGTTTTATTTTGTTGGGTTTCTTCCTTAATTGAGAAGTTCATGAGAGTTCTAGAAATTTGTGAAGATGTCTAGAATTCTCTAGATATGTGAAGAAATGTATTGAATGTTCTATTATGTTCTGGAGCTTTCTAAAGAGACGTGGAATTATCTAGAAGCGTGTGGAATAGTGTAGAACATTCTAGAACATTGTGGAGTTTTCTAGAGAAGTGTGGAATTCTCTAGAATCATGCGGATGTGTGTAGAAGCCTCTAGAACATTATGGAGCAGTGTAGAGTTTTCTAGATCCTTCTAGAAGAATAGAGAACCTTGTGGACATTTCTTGGAAATATCTAAAAGAGTAATGATGTGTAGAAAGTTCTAGAGAAGCTTTGAGGAGAGTAGTATAAATAGGGGTGACACTCCTCATTCCTAGAGTGAGCCTAGAGAGTCTTTAGAAAGAGAGTCTCCTCAAGTGATGAGTGAAAGAGCCTTGAGGAGAGCTCTTGAGTGAGTGAGTGTCTCCTAAAGAGAGAGGTGTGAGAGTGAAGCAATCACATATACAAAGAGTGATGTGAGCTATTCGTTTACTTGTAAATCTCTCTTGTACATTTCAATTGTATAATACAAAGTGATATTATTAGATTGAGTCTTTGTGTTACGAGTGGGTGTGTGAATGTACAAAAGTCTTTTAAGCTCATGATCCTGGAAAAGGCCGGGGGTCGTGTTTTCCCCAATAGTTGTATCAGAGCCGAGGTTGTTGGAGGTAAAGTAACGGGTAGAGTTCGTCGTAGGGATAGATCTCGTTTTACTGTAATGCTAGTATTGTTGTCGAATGCATTCGAGATCACATACTAGGGCAAGGCATATCGGTTTTCGGTTCGGTTTTTATCGATTTCGGTTCGGTTCGGTTTGGAACGGGTTGAAAGAATTATTACCAACAAAAACCATACTATATTTCGGTTTGGTTTGGTTAGGTTTAGTTCGGTTTGGATTTGTTCATTTTAAATAATATATGAAGGTTTTTTTAATTTCTTTAGTTCGGTTCGATTTTGTTTGGTTTTTATCGATTTCGGTTCGGTTTAATACGGTTTCGAAGAAATAGTACCAAACCCAAACCAAATTTCATATGGTCTGGTTTCGGTTCGGTTTAGTTCGGTTCAGTTAAACGAAACCGTTATGCCGAGCCCTAGATCATACTCTTTGATGGGATGCTTCACTTTAGAGCTTGATCATACATGGAGCAGAGTGATGGGATGCATTATGTGGATGGTTCTCAGTCTGGTCTCATGTGAGTGATGGGATGCATTGTGTGGATGGTTCTTAGTCTGGTCTCATGTCTTGGTCTGGTAGTGGTGCATTGTATCAAAAGTCTTCCTGATATTGTGGTGGTCAGGCGGCGTGTCCTGCTGATAAACAACGGCGGTACAAGATGAATTGCAGATCAAGTGTCAGCGGAGAGGAGATCTTCTTGAGAACATCACGTACAGGGTTTGGTCTTGTGATTTGATCAACTATTGGTGCGTTGTATTGAAAGTCTTCTTGATATTGAGTTGATCAGGCGACGTGTCCCATTAATAGATAACGGCGGTACAAGATAGTTTAATGGATCAATTCTTGTTGCGGAGGATATCATGACCATTCCTTGGTGGTTGCTCGTATCATGTGATGCAAGCTTTGTTTGAGGGGGAGAGAACTCACATGTGAGGTGGAGATTGCTATGTCTAAAGTCGGTAGGGGAGATTTGTTGGGTTCCCTCCTTAATTGAGAAGTTCATGAGAATTCTAGAATTTTGTGAAGATGTCTAGAATTCTCTAGATGTGTGAAGAAATGTATTGAATGTTTTAGAATGTTATGGAGCTTTCTAGAGAGACGTGAAATTATCTAGAAGCGTGTGGAAGAGTGTAGAACATTCTATAACATTGTGGAGTTTTCTAGGGAAGTGTGGAATTCTCTACAATCGTGCGAACGTGTGTAGAAGCCTCTAGAACATTCTGGAGCAGTGTGGAATTTTCTAGATCATTCTAGAAGAATATAGAAGCTTGTAGACACTTCTTGGAAGAATCTAGAAGAGTAGTGATGTGTCGAAAGTTCTAGGGAAACTTTGAAGAGAGTAGTATAAATAGGGGTGACACTCCTTATTCCTAGAGTGAGCCTAGAGAGTCTTTAGAAAGAGAGTCTCCTCAAGTGATGAGTGAGACTGTGAGAGAGCCTTGAAGAGAGCTCTTGAGTGAGTGAGTGTCTCCTTGAGAGAGAGGTGTGAGAGTAAAGCAATCTCATATACAAAGAGTGATGTGAGATACCCGTTTACTTGTAAATCTCTCTTGTACATTTCAATTGTATAACACAAAGTGATATTATTGTTAGATTGAGTCTTTGTGTTACGAGTGAGTGTGTGAATGTACAAGAGTCCTTTGAGCTCGTGATCCTGAAAGAGGTCGGGGATCGTGTTTTCCCCAACATATTCGTGTTAAGAGTAATTTCTTATTGTCATACTACTACCGACAAGGCCACTACCGTGGATGTGCATAATTAGTACTACCTTATTACGAAGTATGACCTTTGTCCCAATTTGAGGATCTTGTTTGTTATTCACTTGGTCAACACAAATCACTCTTAATTATCTCTTACTTTATATATCAAACTTTTTCAAATTTGATTTTTTCAT